TTATTTTACTATTTTTATTTTGTGATAATTACATTATCATTATTATTACATAATATTCTGTTAAAGTCACGACCACAGATTTATAAAAATACTTATATAAATATTTTTATATATTTGTGCTCACGACTCACGATTTAAGATAATATACAGGTTAGGTTAGGGTCTTAAATTGTGGTTATAGTATCAATAATCAATATATTATATAATATCTTTAATTCAATTATAACTATTCTTATTTCTTATCACTCAAAAATACTAAATAATACTAGCATAGAATAACTGTGATGCTACTTACTAGTTACTATTTTATTTATAGTATATTAGTATTATAATTGGTCGGTATGTCATGAAGAAATTTATTCACTACCATTACCACCTTTTAACTTTTTAATACAACACCATGTTTAGAAGTTAGAAGATAAAGCTTGAAGCCAGTATGGCTTTACACTTTTTCAACTTGCATAAACAATAATACAATAATACTTCAAAATTGCAATAGCATAATATTATTCAGTTAACCAGTGGCGTGGTGAACATTTATAAGCCATGATGCACAACATATATTTTAGTTCCTATACCCACCCACCCAGTAGCGCAAATATGTGGGAGGCTTACCCCCCTCCAATCAAAATTTCTTGGAGCCACCTCAAAAAATTTGAATAGAATAGGCATTTATTCAAAAAAATATGCATTTGAGGTTTGAGTCCCCCTGAAAATATTGCCTATTTGCGCCACTGTACCAATCCTTTTCTCAGATACCATCCATAAAATATTTCCAAAACAAATTACCTAATGAAAACTATAAACTAATAATGATTTAAGCTATTAAGCACMATGATTTATCTTCTTATACTTATCTAATATTGTATATAGGAATAAGGATTATAGAATTATAAGAGATTTTTTATTTAAGAAATACTTAAAATCAAACAAACAAAAGTGCCCTTTGTAAAACTGTAGATGATCGACCAAATCGATTGATAATTTCTTCGTAGTCAATTTTAACATCTTTTTCAACGCTAAGCATTAGTAAGCTCTCAAGCCTTCCTTCATTAACTGTAGTCCTCAGTCTAGTTTTGATAAGTTTCACCTTAAGAATTAATGGTTAATATTATACAATTTAAGTATGTTAATTAATTACTTTTGAAAATGTCCTCTCTGCTGATGCTGAAGTCACTGGAATTGTTCCATAAGCTTTAAATGCCAAATATAAATTAGGAAAAGCAACAGACAAATCCAAAGTTGATAATACATGAAGCATGGTGTGGAATTTTATTTTTTCTAATTTATCAGTTGTTTTGCTGCTTTCCCCACTACTACTGCTACTGCTACTATTATTTAATTCACAATCAGAGTTTTGATCATCTTCTTCTTGTTTAGTTGTATTTTTGATTTTTGTATGAAGTTGAGATGGTAAATTAATACTGGAAATTAACTCATTGAAACTTTTAGCAAATGTTTTATATTCGTTTTTTAATTGTTCTACATTAAGGTTTTGTATCCACGTTCCTAATCTATTAAAAGCATCATAAGGTAGTGTTTGATTTTGATCGTTATATAATGCTATTCTTTCTGGAGATAACAAAGCTAAATCTTTCATTATTTCATGGGATTCACTAAATCTTGTACGAATAGAATTTATGATTTGATCCAACACTTTAAAATAAGTTTCAAATTTATACTTATTTTCTGGAGAAGATAATACTTCATCCCTACTGTTTTCACCAGGCATCCTTTTTTTATTTCTTCTTCTATTTTCTTTAAAACTTGTAGAAGGAAGACAATTATTTTCGGCAAATTGCTTTGCTTCGCTTAGTAATTTTTCATATTCAGTATCATTCCTTGTATGAGTTAATTGTTTTAAGCTAGTATTCATTAAATTAGTAGCTTCTATAAAGTCTAAGGATTTGGATTGGAGATAATTCGAAAGAGGTGTAGTAATATCAAATATGTTTTTCATGAAAATCATGGATAAAATAAAATTGAATGAGGTTATTATTTTTAAAAAGTTGTTAGCTCCTGCAGAAGTGATTCTATCTTCAGAGTTTGATAGATTTTGAAGTGAATCTAGTAAAGCATCAAATTTAGAATATACAACTTCAATGACACGGCCGTGTGATGTCCATCTAGAGTCTGAAAAATTCTTCATTGATCTAACACGCTTAAGAGGTTGAAGAAGCTTTTGAGATTTTACAAATTCCGCAGTTCTTTTTCTCGCTCTCATAAAATTAACTAAAGCTTGAAGATCACCAAAGAAATTTTTTGTATTGGTACTAGAATCAGCAGTGTCTACAATTACTAAATTAAGTCTRTGTGCGAAACACCACACGTATATGGCTTTCTCATTTTCCTTTTGAATTAATGTTTTTAATCCTTTATATTGTCCTTGCATTGAAGCAGCACCATCATATGATTGTGCATATAAATATTCTTTCCAATTAATATTATGCTGTTGCATTATTTTTTGAAATACATCAAAAATCCCTTTACCTGAACTATCTTCGGCAGTTTCCAAAGCAATTAATCTTTCTTTGATTTKTCCCATATAGACATACCTTAATACAAATGCTACTTGTTCTAAACTTGACAAATCAGTAGTAGTGTCTATAATTATACAAAACATTTGTGATTGCTTAACTTCTTCTAATATTATTGAACGAACATACTCTTTCATAATATCTAACAATTTGTTTTGGCTTATATTTGATAAAAATGATATTCGATTCTTTGAAACATTATTTATTTTTTGAAGGTGCAAATTGAGAACTGGATGATATTTTCCCATTAAATTAATTAGTTCAAGGAAATTTCCTCTATTGTTAGATTATTTGTGCTCATTATGGCCTCGAAGAGCAATGTTTTGTCGAGCAGTATACAATAATGCATCAATGACTACCTTTACAATTTCACGATTTTCGACTACTTGTTTATTAGTTCCATGTACCATTTTTAAATCAATTCTATGGTTATTGGTATAAAGAGCTTTACTCATTTCAGACTGTAAATGTTCTGTTAGCAACTCATGTTGTTCAATATTTCTCTTAATATTAGACCATTCATTTGTMCCTTGGGAAGCAATTAACAATYWTTTTGCTTTGGGTAAACCAAACAATTTACAAGTCACACAGAACACTTTGTTCAGAGCAGGAGAGTATGATAACCATGATCTTTTACATGGGGGTTGATCCTTTAATTGTTYGTAGTAGTAAACTTCATGAAAAKACCTTACCTTTCCAGTTTTTGTGTTGGTGTTTATTGGATATTTTTTATCAATTAACTCAGAAGGTAATGGTTAACAAGGACCCAACTGGGTAAATAGCAATAGCTGAGAGTATGGTACATTGTCTGGTATATAGGCTGGATCGTTTGGAAAATTTTGAATTGTTAAATTTAACTCAATATCAYCTGAAAATATATTTCAACTGAATAATTATAATTTATAAATTTAATCACAGTATGAACATAAGATTGTACTACGTAAATATTATTTGATAAATAAGACATTATATCTCAATATTGAATATAATAATAATATTATATATTTATA